AGTCTCTCGGGAGCAGTCTCTGGGGCACAGTCTTGGGGCACAGTCTCTCGGGAGCAGTCTCTGGGGCGCAGTCTTGGGGCACAGTCTCTCGGCGCAGTCTCTCGGGAGCAGTCTCTGGGGCACAGTCTTGGGGCGCAGTCTCTCGGGAGCAGTCTCTGGGGCGCAGTCTTGGGGCACAGTCTCTCGGCGCAGTCTCTCGGGTGCAGTCTCTGGGCACAGTCTCGGGCACAGTCTCTCGGGAGCAGTCTCTGGGGTGCAGTCTCTGGGGTGCAGTCTTGGGGCACAGTCTCTCGGGTGCAGTCTCTGGGGCGCAGTCTTGGGGCGCAGTCTCTCGGGGCACAGTCTCTGGGGCACAGTCTTGGGGCGCAGTCTTGGGGCACAGTCTCTCGAGCGCAGTCTCTCGGGTGCAGCCCAGCAGGCGCCCCCCCAGCAGAGGCTCCGGGGGGCGGTGGTGGCTGTAAAAGGGGACTTTGGCCTTCTCCCAGGGTTTAGTGCCCTGTGGAGTGGATCCTCTCACAGTTCCTGCGTTATCAGAAAGCAATTGTTAAATAGGTGCCCAGGTATCGAGGCCACGTGGAGGGAGGGGCCTCCGCCCTCCCCCAGCCCTGCCCCCAGCACAGCCTGGCCCACCCCCCCCCAGCCAGGTCACCAGGAGCCTGTGGGCGGGGAGGGTGGGGTCAGGGGCCCAGATGCCTGCAAGACCCTCTTAATAGGTGACCCATTTATCTGGGGGCCGCTGTGCAGCCCACCCCACCCTTATCTGTCAGTCCAGTAACACAAACACCAGACCGCACAGGCCGGCGTCTAAGGTGCCTTTGAACCTTATCTCCCCACCCTGCCAGGCTGGGGGATGAAGGCGCCGGGGGGCTGCCTCCCCCCGTGGCCAGGCATTTCCCCCAGTGGGCCCAGGAGGCATCACTGGAGGTCGTGGGGAGCCCTCTGAGGTGGGCGGGGGAGACACGGCTGCCTGGCCAACAGGAGCCCAGGGCAGGGTCCTGGGAGCAGCCCCTGCCGCCCACTCTGGGCCCCAGGCTCCAGCTCCAGCAGCGCCCAGGCTGAACCCCACATGCGGGTGCGGCTGTGGGGTGAGGCCGGAGTCCGTCCACAGCGTCTCCTCTAGCCGGGCCGCGGGGCCAGCTGCCCTCACTCTGCCGGCACAAGCTGGTTCTTGCAGGGCTGAATGAATGAATGACGGACTCACGGCTCCCAGCAACGCTTGCCCCCCGCCCCTCCCCACGAGGGGGCACCGCCTGCCCCAGGGTCTGCCCTGCGTGTGGCGCTTTCTGTGGCCGCGGACCGTGCCCAGGTGTCGGGTCCTTGGCAGTGACCATCGTGTGGCTGGGAACTGGAGCCCAAGCACAGTCAGGGTGAGAGAGCCAGCTGAGGTCAAGACTGGGCTCCTTGTGCCCAGCCTGGTGGAGCAGGGACGTGTGGCTGCCCCAGGCTGGGGGCCCTGGGGGTCACGCATGCCCCCTCACCTCTCCAGCCCTCAGACCCCAGGCTGCGGGGCCCTGGGGGTCACGCATGCCCCCTCACCTCTCCAGCTCCCAGACCCCAGGCTGCGGGGCCCTGGGGGTCACGCCATGCCCCCCTCACCTCTCCAGCCCTCAGACCCCAGGCTGCGGGGCCCTGGGGGGTCACGCCATGCCCCCTCACCTCTCCAGCCCTCAGACCCCAGGCTGCGGGGCCCTGGGGGGTCACGCCATGCCCCCCTCACCTCTCCAGCTCCCAGACCCCAGGCTGCGGGGCCCTGGGGGTCACGCATGCCCCCTCACCTCTCCAGCCCTCAGACCCCAGGCTGCGGGGCCCTGGGGGGTCACGCATGCCCCCCTCACCTCTCCAGCTCCCAGACCCCAGGCTGCGGGGCCCTGGGGGGTCACGCATGCCCCCTCACCTCTCCAGCCCTCAGACCCCAGGCTGCGGGGCCCTGGGGGGTCACGCCATGCCCCCTCACCTCTCCAGCCCTCAGACCCCAGGCTGCAGGGCCTTGGGGGGGTCACGCCATGCCCCCCTCACCTCTCCAGCCCTCAGACCCCAGGCTGCAGGGCCTTGGGGGGGTCACGCATGCCCCCTCACCTCTCCAGCCCTCAGACCCCAGGCTGCGGGGCCCTTGGGGGGTCACGCCATGCCCCCCTCACCTCTCCAGCTCCCAGACCCCAGGCTGCGGGGCCTTGGGGGGGTCACGCCATGCCCCCCTCACCTCTCCAGCCCTCAGACCCCAGGCTGCGGGGCCTTGGGGGGGTCACGCCATGCCCCCCTCACCTCTCCAGCTCCCAGACCCCAGGCTGCGGGGCCCTGGGGGGGTCACGCCATGCCCCCTCACCTCTCCAGCCCTCAGACCCCAGGCTGCGGGGCCTTGGGGGGGTCACGCCATGCCTCCCTCACCTCTCCAGCCCCCAGCCCCTGCCCCTGCATTGTGGCCTCACACTTTGCTCTCCCATCCCCACCGCTCCCCTGCAGTGCAGTCGAGTGCGACCTGCACTGCTCCCCGCGGGGTCCGAGCGCTCACAGCCCATGCGCAGGCACCAGGGGTCTTCTGCCTTATTTACGGATCTCACAGGTGCACTTCAGGTCTGCACACAGTAGGTGAGCAGCAGGCGGGGGCATCCCTCTACACACAGTAGGTGACCAGCAGGCGGGGGCGTCCCTCTGTGCACAGTAGGTGAGCAGCAGGCGGGGGCGTCCCTCTACGCACAGTAGGTGACCAGCAGGCGGGGGCGTCCCTCTGTGCACAGTAGGTGACCAGCAGGCGGGGGCGTCCCTGTGTGCACAGTAGGTGACCAGCAGGTGGGGGTGTCCCTCTACACACAGTAGGTGAGCAGCAGGCGGGGGCGTCCCTCTACACACAGTAGGTGAGCAGCAGGCGGGGGCGTCCCTCTACACACAGTAGGTGACCAGCAGGCGGGGGCGTCCCTCTGTGCACAGTAGGTGACCAGCAGGTGGGGGCGTCCATCTACACGCAGTAGGTGTTCTGTAACCAGCTGCCCGCAGCCCAGGAGGCCAGTCCAGAGTCCACCCGCCCCAGGCCTCCACGCCCCCGGCCCAGCTGTGTGGGTCTGTCAGTGTCTCCCTGCCTCAGTGTCCACGCAGGAGGCTGGAGTGGGGTGGGGGACACCTGCCCCCAGCCACCCTCACCATGGTTGCCTGGGGTGGAGCAAGGGCTCCTGGGAGAACCTGGCTGGGGGTGGGGTTCCGCGTTGGGGGAGGGGATATGGGAACTCCGTATGTGGAGTTCAGATTCGCCATGGACCTAAAACAGAATGAAAAGTAAATTATGGGGCCGGCGCTGTGGCGCAGTCCGGCTAGGCCTCTGCCAGTGTCACCAGCATCCTATGTGGGTGCCAGGTTCTAGTCCTGGCTGCTCCTCTTCCGAACCAGCTCCCTGCTGTGTCCTCGGAGGGCAGCGGAGGACGGCCCAAGTCCTTGGGTCCCTGCACCCACGTGGGAGACCTGGAATAAGCTCCTGGCTCCTGGCTTCAGATTGGCCCAGCCCCGGCCGTTGAGGCCATCTGGGGAGTGAACCAGCGGATGGAAGACCTCTCTCTCTCTCTCTCTCTCTTTCTCTCTCTCAGTAACTCTGACTTTCAAACAAAAAAATAAACCTTTAAAAGCACCGTGGGAGTAGAACTCGCATCCACCAAGCCCCCTTCCTGACACCGTGGGGGAGCAGCGAGCACTCCCGCGGGGACCACGCGTCCTCCCCAGAAAGCTTCTGCCCTTTCCAGCCCCACTCCAACCCGGCGGCCCCGCCCCGCTCCGGCCCCTGGGCTGGGCCCCTTCCCGGGCTGTGTCCACCCCACCTCGCAGGGCAGGTTCCCCCGGGGCCCCGATGTCCAGTAGGGGGCGGCTGTGAGCACAGCGCCCTGCACACCCCCAGGGACAGCTTTGGTTCAGCTCCCGATCCTGGCCCACCCTTGGCTGCTCCGGCCACGCTCACCGCTCCTGCTGAGCCGGGCGGCTCGGTCTCTGGTGCCCAAGGTGGCTCAGCTCTGGGGGCAAGGTCAGGGTTCCAACCCAGCCTGGTCTGGGGGAACAAGGCACAGGGTCCCCCAGTCTCAGCCCAAGTCTTGAGACTCCCCCAGGTTGTTCAAAGTCAGCACTGTCTCACCACAGGGCCCCTACAATGTCATCACAGCCCACACCCCCAATGAGAGCTGAGGGGCAGGGGGCTGCCGGGTGCCCCACGGGGGGCCTCCCCTGGAGCCCCAGGCGCTGGGCGGCTCCTGTGCACCCGAGGACCCCTGCTCAGCTGAGCAGGCCGGAAGCCCGTGGCAAGGCACGAATCGGCCTGGTGTCGGCGCGGGTCTCCCGGCTCCGGGCCGGCATCCTCTGCCTGCACCCCCACGCGGCACCAGGGGAGGGGACTCCGCAGGTCCCTTTGTGAGAGCGAGCGCACGCATTCCCGCAGGCACAGTGGCCGGACAGGCGCCGCCCACAAACGGAGGCAGGCAGCTGTGCACGCACAGAGCCCCCTCCCGAGGGCCCCCATTCCGGGGGCCACGCCAGGGAGCAGGAACCGTGCCCTCTGACCTCTGACCTCCCTGAACTGCTGGCCGGATTCTCAGGTCCTCCTCTGAGTCTCTGCCGTCCATCCCGGCGCCGCCAGCAGCCACGATGTCGCTGTCCAGAGACTAAGCATGCAACCCCGTGGCGGCCACCTCGTCCAGCAGCCTCAGCCATGCCCCCAGCCAGGCCAGCCCCCACCCCCATTTACCACCCAGCTCCATCCGGGGGAGGGCACCCAGCCTGCCCTGAGACCGGAGAGGCCCACCCACCTGGGCAGCCCACAAACCCCAGGCAGAAAAGGTGGGCGCAGCGCCCGAGCCCCACCGCACCCGGCCCCCCCACCCCCTGAGCCCCCCAGGGACCCCACCCCACACCGGGTCAGGCCTGGCCCTGCCGTGGCGCTGCAGGAACAATCCCACCTCTGTGCACCTGGCCCGGCCTGCTCTGCCACTCTCCCGCGACGGCAGAACCCGTCCGGCCGCCCTGGGCAGCCCCGGCCTCCCTTCTGCTCCTGGCTGAGAGAACAGAAAACCCGTCCGGCGGGTTTGGCCGAACTCTGCCTGCGCGGCTCACACGCTGCTCGCTCCTGCCCCTGCGGTGGGAGCCTCAGCGCTCAGCACGGAGGTGGACGGAGGTCCTGGAGCCACGTGAGTACCTGGTGGCCAGGGCCACAGCTCGAGCAGGTGTGCGGTGGGGTCCCTGGGGGGCTCACGCTGGGGGCTAGAGGCCCAGCTCTGGCAGGAGCGGGACAGGAGGGGTCGGCCTGCCCTGCCCACAGAGGTGGCCTGAGAGGCACCTGACCAGCAGCTCTGGGGGGCCTGGTGCTCAGGACCCAGCCTGGGGCAGGGGGTGTCAGGAGGCTTCCAGGAGGCTGGGCACAGAGAGGCGGGCCTGGCCTGGCACTGCGGCCCCAGGTTCCCGTGATGTGCTGAAGGCACCGGACAGCAGGAACCTTCGAGGGGCCACGCGGGTCAGAAGCAGGTGCAGCCATGGGCACGAGGGTGACGCATGGGTGCAGCCACCCACACTGGGCACCGGGACCCATGGTGCCCTGCACCGGGCTGGGTGCCTGGGGAGGACCGTCCCTGCCCAGCCCCCTCCCCAGGCCTCCAGCCGGCAGTGAGCTCGCCCCCCCCCTCGAGGAGTCAGGTTGCAGGGCCCAGCGTCACCTGAGCTGAGCAGCCTTGCTCCTGCACTCCTGGTGCACGCACACATGTGTGAGTGCGTGTGCAGTGGCCCCGGCCCGTGAGGCTTCCTGGTCGGGGTGTGCACACGTGTGTGAGTGCGTGTGCAGCGGCCCCCGGCCCGTGAGGCTTCCTGGTCGGGGTGTGCACACGTGTGTGAGTGCGTGTGCAGCGGCCCCCCGCCCGTGAGGCTTCCTGGTCGGGGTGTGCACATGTGTGTGAGTGCGTGTGCAGCGGCCCCCCGCCCGTGAGGCTTCCTGGTCGGGGTGTGCACACGTGTCCCCTTGCCTGAGCTGGGGTCTGTGCGTGCGTGGTGTGGGCGCTCCTGCGTGTGCCCGCGGTCACAGCACGTCAGAGCCTCTGGGCAGGGGCACCTGCCTGGACTCGGCCCAGCCCCTGAGCTGTCCCGAAGGTCACCGGGAGGCAGAGTTTGTGTCCTGGCTGTGTCTCTTGCCGGCTGGTAGCTGTGGACAGGTGACATCTCTGAGCCCGGCGTCTTCATCTGCTGTGGCCACTGCCCTGGCCAGTGTGGCAACCAGAGCCGCTGGGGTGGGGCGACACGTTCCAGGAGCACCAGCGTCCTGCCTTCAGGGGGTCCAGGGCAGGTCAGGCAGGTGGCCTGGCCAAAGCCGGCATGGGAGAGGCCCCATGAGGCAGGAGGAGACGCCGAGCGGCCAGACCAAGGTTCAGATCCTGCCTCCACCTGCTTCTCTTACTTCCTCGACCTCAGTGTTTCAATCTATAGAATGGGGCCATCGGCACCTCCTCAGAGGCCTAGGGGCTGCATCACGTGGGTGGGAGGGGCCTGGTGCACTAAGGCCCCGGATGCTTCTCTGAGATCTATTCTTTTATTTGGAAGGGGAGTGAGAAACAGTGATCTGCCATCTGCTGGCTCACTCCCAAGCGGCTGCAGCAGGTGCTGGGCCGGGCGGATCCAGGAGCCTGGAGCTCCATCCTGGTCTCCGTGTGGATGGCAGGGCTCAGGTACTGAAGCCGGTACCTCCAGGTGCGTTAGCAGGGAGCCGAGGCAGAAACGGAGCGTCCGGGGCTGCAACGGGCACTCGGGTCTAGGACGCTGGCGTGGCAGGCGCTGAGCCACAGCCCCGAGCCTCGTGCCACCATCCCAGGCTCTTACTGTGTGCCTGGCCTGTGTGGGAGCCGCAGGGACGGCCAGTCGTGGGCTGCAGACGCAGCTGAGGGGGGGGCGGGTGGCACCTGGGCTCGGCCTCCTCGGTAAAGCCTCAGATGGCTGCAGGGCCCCCGCCCGCAGGAGAGCCCTGGTGTGGTGCTGGGCACGGAGCGGGCGGGAGGGCGGGCAGGCAGAGCAGCCACAGTCACTGCCTGCCATGGGCCCTGCCACTCTCAGCAACAGTGCCAGACCGACGGCCCCACAGCCCAGCCCTCAGAGAAGGCGCAGAACTGGGGTCCCCGACGCCTGTGGCGCCAAGGCGCCTGCGGAGGGCGCGGTGGCTGGGCAGACGCTCCCGGGGCCGTGGTGCCCGTGGGGTCGTGGGGTTCAGCGTCCTGCAGGGGGCAGGGCCGGCTTGAGGAACGCAGGGCCCAGCCCCCAGAAGGGCTCAGGCCTGACCACTGGCCCGGGGCACCGCAGGAGCCAGCACCTCCATGGACTCTGCCCCTTGACCAGACGGTGCAGGTCCCACCAGAAGCCACAGCTGTGCACGGGGCTGGTGGCGCCTCCCTGGGCGTGGGTGTGGGCGTGGCCCATGGTGAGCAGCCGCAGACCCTGGGGCGGGAACCCCCCCCACCCCAGCCAAGGAAACGAGGTTGCACAGAGTGAGGGCAGGCCCAGGAGCCGTGCCCAATCCACAGCACTGCCCAGTGCCCAGGCTGACCCCCAGCCAGACGGGCCCAGTGCCCAGGCTGACCCCCCAGCCAGACGGCGCACCACGGAGGCTGGGGTTGGGGCCGGGGGGCAGGCAAGGCCCAGAGTGAGCCCCTGCTCCTGAGCGAGGCTCCCATGCACTCTGGGGGTGCCCTGCACCGCTGTCCTGTTTCAGGTCTGCTAAGATGGCTCACTCCTGCGGCTTCAAGGAGCAGTCACCTGCAGGCAGAGGTGCTGGTGCCGGCAGCAGGCTCGGGTTCACCAAAACCATTGCCTCTCCCTCCCTCTCTCTCCCTCCCCTCGGGCAACACCCTCACCCCGGGGGGCGGGGACCCAGCCTCTTCATCAAAACACAGCAGGTTGAGGGTTGCCGGTGCCCTTCCGCCTGCCCTGCCCCCACCCCTGCGCCCAGCCTGGAGAGCAGGGGGCGGGGTCCACGGCAGGTAGGGCTGAGGCTGATCAAGCTGCCCTTCCTCCTGTTCCTCCCAGGAACCTCAGCCCCAGCAGGGCCCCCCCAGCCTGGGTGTCCAGAGTGGGGGGAGGAAGCACCCTGGGCCTGGGGCCCAAGGGACAGGTGTCTGCCTGCTCCCACCCACTGTCCAGCCCCAAAATGCTCCCCAGCTCCTCTCTCCCATGCACAGCACCCCAGCCCAGCCCCACGGCAGCCCCCACCCCGGGAGCCCAGCCCAGCCCCACGGCAGCCCCCACCCCGGGAGCCCAGCCCAGCCCCACGGCAGCCCCCACCCCGGGAGCCCAGCCCAGCCCCACGGCAGCCCCCACCCCGGGAGCCCAGCCCAGCCCCACGGCAGCCCCCACCCCGGGAGCCCAGCCCAGCCCCACGGCAGCCCCCACCCCGGGAGCCCAGCCCAGCCCCATGGCAGCCCCCACCCCGGGAGCCCAGCCGCCCTCACCAAGCTTGCATGCAGAAGACGCCCGTGGGGGAAAGCCAGCCCCCGGCTGGCACAGCCTGTGTGGTTCTACCAGCTGGGGTCTTTCTGCCCACAGGCCGACCCCTCCCCAGACACGGGGACCAGTGACAGAGTCCAGGAAACAGAGTGACCCCCAGCCCTCAGCCAGACACGTTCTGTCACCTGCCCCTGGGAAGTCCCTCCTGCCCTGGCACCGTGGCCCCAAACCTTGTCTGCTCTACCAGGGCCTACAGGGGCTGGGGACGGGGGGCCGGCAGGCTGCAGGGGAGCGGCCCGGCAGGCAGCCCTGACTGCCCGACCCCTGCACACAGCATGCTCAGGAGCAGCGCCCAGCGGACCACGGGCGCTCTCGGCAGCTCCTTTACGGGCGTCGGGCGGCCCACGCACGGCAGCGGGGCCAGGGCAGAGCTGCCTGCCGGGCGGGTCCGGGTGGAATTTCAGGTGCTGCAGCCCGGCCCAGCCCGGCAACGCCAGGGCCCACGGAGGCCCCAGCCAGGCCCACGGTGCCGCGGGAAGACGCCCCCAGGCCACACAGGGCGACCTCACAGACCCCGCAGGCACTGTGTGGTCTCCTGCGCCTCGGTGCCCCCATCTGGAGGGTGGGCCCTTGGGGTGTGGTCAGGGTCAGATGGGCTACCATGGAAGCAACAGCATGAGTCCAGCTCAGGAATCGGGGCCCGGCTCCAGCCCTGCTGCCCCTGGAATTCAACGTCCCCTGGGCCTGCGGGCACATCCCCGGTCCAGGCCAGTGCTGGCTCCCGCCTCCCGTCAGCGGAGCCCCCCAGGCCCTCTCCCAACACGGGCCATGCCGCTGCCCCAGCCAGCTTTTGGGGGAGGGCCCCAGCCGATTTGGCAGATGTGTCTGGGGAGCCCCCCCATCACTGCTCCGCCCAGCTGGCTCCCACAGCCCCCACAACCACACAGGACACACCCCCGGCTCTGGCGTCCCCGGCCTCACCGCCAGGCCCAGGGCTCAGTCATTGGCGCAGGTCGAGGGCCTCACTGAGAGCCAGGCTTGCCCTTGGGAGCCCCTCCAGCCCAGCCCGCGGCTTCCCCTGGGGTCACAAAGCCGCCCTTGGTCAGGGAGCCTCCTTGCAGCCCCCAGGGGCACCCATCCCCCGACTTCTAGAGCCTGGTGGCTGGCCGAGCTGCGGTACCATCACGGCAGCGGGAGGCGTGGGAAGGGCGCACCTCACAAGGCCGCATGCGGGGGCTCCTGGTTAGCGGATTCAGAGTGACTTTTGGGCACCTCTGGCTGCTGGAGACCCACTGGCCTGGGTGGGGAGTAGAGAAGAAGGAGGAAGACGGGGAGAGAGGAGGAGCCACAGTCCCACAAGCCCAAGCCCCCAGCCACCTCTCCAGGAGCTCTGCAGACCTCTGCGTGCTTGGAAAGTTCCAGAAGGGCTTGGCGATGAGGGTGCTGGGGCCCCGGGCCCGACCGCAAGGACCCCACGCCCCTTAAATCTGAAGCAGGCATGGGACCCCGAGGCCTCCACTGCCTGGCCCAGCACCTCCGGTACCCTGTGAACAGGAGGGGCAGGCGGTAGAGGGGGCTGCACACGGGGCAGTCTCGAGGAGACCCCTGCCCCACCCTGGGACGCCCCAGCCCCTCAGTGTGGGAGCTGCCGTCTTGGGCAGCTGGGAGCAGGGTCTGGGCATCGGTGTCTGCGTGTGTGTCCGTGTCAGCCTGGGTGTCTGTGTGTCCCTGTGCCTGCACACGCGTGTGGGTGTGTGAAGCCCATGCCCCTGCGTGTGCATGAGCGCCATGTGCCCGGCACGCCTGTCCTTGGGCGCAGGCCTTGGTGTCGGAGGAGCGTGGAGACCCCGGGAAGGGAATCGGGAGAGGGGCTTTCAGCAGACGGGCCGTCACTCGTGGCTCTCTCCAGCCCTCCCCCACGGGCAGCCAGGGGCCGGCCTCCAGGCCACGGGGGACCCCAGGCCCTGCCCACTCTGCCTACGCCTGTGAATTGCAGCCCAACCTCCCCGGGAGAGCGCCCCAGCAGGGTGGGGGTCCTGCCTGCCCACATGGGGTGCTCAGCCACTCCCTGCCCCCCCATGTGCAGCAGGCCCTGCGCCCCCACCCCCCACAGCAGGCTGGAAGCACAGGGCCAGCAGAGGCAATGGAGAGCTTCGCGGAGGCCCTGAACCGGCTGAAGGACGCGCACGAGAAAGAGGTGCTGGGTGAGTGGCCGGGGGCTCCTGGGGTCACCTCCATTCTCAGCACATCTGGGAGCCCAGCTTTCCGCACGGGAGTCCTGCCACAGCCCAGAGCTGCAGAGAGGCCAGACGCCCCGCCTGGGCCCAGGCCCAGCGAGCACCGCTCCCTAGGCCGGGACGTCCTTGGCCACCACCCCGGAGCGGCCGGAGGGAAGGCAGTTCAAGGGTTGCCAACTGCCACACCCGGCCCCAGCAGGGAAGCCAAGAAGCCCCGGGTGGACAGTCCACCCCTAGGAAGAGGCGCGTGTCTGCGGAGGCCTGGCCTGGACGTCTCCTCTCCTCTCCAGGTCCTGCCCGGCCCAGTGCTGACAGGTCCCCGAGCAGGCCCGGGGCAGCCCCTCCACCCACCGCCTGCTCAGGGCAGCCCCCCCACAGGCCTTTCTGGGTGCTCGTGTGCACCCGGGGGGCCACAGGGCAAAAAGAGGGCCTATGCGCCCCCACCCCACCCCAGGCCGGCCGAGCTGGTGGGCAAACCGTGGCAAGGAGGGACTGTGATGGGGCCGCCCCAAAGGCCTGCTTGGCTGCATGCTGGCGGCACCCCCACAGAAACGGCCCCCCTTGGCACCTCTGCTCTTCCCCGGTGGCTGCCGGTCCCTTCTGGCGCCAGAACCCCTGCCAGCCTGCCGACAGATACCAGAGCCAGAGTCCCCAGGGGCGGGGGAGACGCTGGCCTCAGGCAGCCACCAAGACTGGGCAGAACCCAAGCCCTGAGAGTGCTGGCCGTGGGCACAGAGGGGGCCGCTCGGTGGGGCAGCCCCGTGGCGCCGGGCGGCAGCAGGGGCTCTGAAGAGGGTCTTTCGTGACAGCCACGGACACAGGCGCCACCTTGAGGCTCTGCTCAGGACCCTTGGCAGGGGAGGCTCGGGGAGGCAGCCGGCTGGGGCTCACCTCCCACCCTCTGCCCCCCGCCCCAGGCCTACAGAGCAAGCTCGCGGAACTGAACACCGAGAGGTGCCGGTGAGTCAGCCCCGAGGAGCCGGGCCGTCCCGTGAAGCGCCGTGGGGCAGCCGAGGCTCAGCCCGGGGCGGCCACTTGTCCGAGGTCACACAGTGTAGCTGCAGCCAGGCCAGGACGCCGGGCGAGACCCTGCAGTCAGGAGCGGCCCCGAGCTGAGGCCGCGGGGAGCTGGATGGGACGCTGACCTCAGGCTGGGCAGTGGGGACCCCCAGGGCCTCCCGGGCGAGCAGGACCCCCGACCCGGCTGTCCCCGTGCAGGGATGCTCAGCGGATCGAGGAGCTGTTTGCCAAGAACCAGCAGCTCCGGGAGCAGCAGAGGACGCTGAAGGAGAACCTGCGGGTGCTGGAGAACCGGTGAGCCCCGCGGGGCGTCGGAGGCCCCGGGACGGCCGGGGGCGTCGGGGAGGCCCCGGGGAACGGCCGGGGGGGGGGGGGGCGTCGGGGAGGCCCCGGGGAACGGCCGGGGGGGGGGGCGTCGGGAGGCCCCGGGGAACGGCCGGGCGGCTCCTGCCCCGCGGGGGCGTCGGGGAGGCCCCGGGGACGGCCAGGCGGCTCCTGCCCCGCGGGGGCGTCGGGGAGACCCCAGGGAACGGCCGGGCAGCTCCTGCCCCGCGGGGGCGTCGGGGAGGCCCCGGGGAACGGCCGGGCGGCTCCTGCCCCGCGGGGGCGTCGGGGAGGCCCCGGGGACGGCCAGGCGGCTCCTCCGCCATGGGGGCGTCGGGGAGACCCCAGGGAACAGCCGGGTGGTTCCTGCCCCACGGGGGCGTCGGAGAGACCCCAGGGAACGGCCGGGTGGCTCCTGCCCCGCGGGGAGCCCGAAGAACGGCACTTTCGAGGGCTGAGCACCGGCCGCTGGGTCCCTAGGGAGGGATAGGACACGGCAGGGGGAGGCAGGTGCACGCCCCGGCCGGGGGGACTACCCGTGGGCCTCAGTCCCCCCGGCTCATGGCAGCCTCTCGTCTCCCCTGCCCACAGGCTGCGGGCAGGCCTGTGTGACCGCTGCATGGTCACGCAGGAGCTGGCCAGGAAGAAGCAGCTGGAGCTGGAGAGCTCCCACCTGCAGGGCCTGCAGCACCTCTTCCTCCTCAGTGAGCCCCTGTGGGCAGGGACCCCCGACCTGGGGCACCGGGAGGGGGCGGTCAGCCCTACGCCGCTGGGCACCCCAGCTACAGACCACAGCTGGAGGCCCAGGCTGGCCCTGGCGTGTCCTCAAAGTGTCAGCTTTGGGTGGGGGTCCCTGAGGAGGGGTCCGCCCAGGCCTGAGGCCCATGGGTCCTACTGATGACCAAGGACACGCCCCCTTTCCCTTGGGGCAGCCTGGGGCACAAGCCGGGGGCGGGGGGAGGGGGGCGGTCACTTTTCACAGCCTTGAGGCTGGCGCCATCACTCATCCAGCCGTCCACACGGGCAGCAGGCTTTTAGGGGGCGCCAGCTGTGTGCCAGGCCCTGGGCCCAGTGCTGGGGACACAGCCGGGCGAGGAGGAGCTTCCCTGGTGCTGTGGGGCCCCCCGCCCGTCCCTGCTCCCCTGGCGGCTTCCCCAGCTGATGGCTTTTGCAGCCAACGAGATGAAGGCGTTGAAGGAAGAGAACGAGGCCCTGAGGGAGGCCGTGAGGCGGCTCCGCCTGGCGTGAGTGGGGGCGGGCGGCCCGCGGGCGGCGCACAGGGCCCTGGGTCGAGCGGGGCGTCCCCAGGGGTCGCGCAGACGCAGCCTGGCCCCAGGAGGGCTTCCCGCCGCGCCCATCCGCTCTGGGCCCCGCGTCCTCACCCCGGTGTTGTCGCCTGCCCTCCAGGGACAGGCCCAAGCCCCTGCCCAGGGAGGCCAGCTCGGATCCGCCCTCCCCCACTGGCTGGAAGGCTGGGCCCGAGAGGCCACCTGCATTCCACCAGGAGGCAGAGGAAGACCCCCCGGGCACGGACACACACGGAGAAGGTGCTGGGGGGCCGGCGGCCGGGCACCCGTGGGACCGTGCATCCCTCCTGCCAGAGGGCACTGCGCCCCCGTGAGCACCTCGCAAGCCCCCACCCCACCTTGTGCCGCCCCTCCTGCAGGAAAGCCGCCTGCCGTGTGCGGGACGTCTCCAGGGGCCAAAGTCTCCCCGGGCACCAACCTGCCCGAGCCTCGGGCCCCAGACGTGGTGAGGGCAAAGAGACCCCCAAGCCACACCCTGCCCTGCACCTATACCATGGGCACCTGTCCCTGCACACGGAGGAGACATGGAGCTGCACCTGCTGTGGGCGGAGGGGAGGCCTGCCCCAGCCCCCGCTGTGAGCCCCGCCCACGCTGACCTGCCGCCCCGCCCACTCAGAGCCCACAGTGCATCGCCAACCAGCTGCACGGCACCATTGCCACCGTGCGGCCTGGGGCCCGGGCCTGCCCTATGGACCACGGCTCTGCCGACGGAACGCCCCCGCCGCTGCCCACCAGGAGCAGCCCACCCAGCCCTGCGTGCGAGCACAGCCTCCCCCTGCACAGGTGAGGGGCTCGCTCCCACCCAGACTCTGGTCCCGTCCTGGAGTAGGGAGCAGTGGCCTGGGAAAGCCTCTGTCTGTCCCTGCAGCACCCGGCCCTCCTCCGGCTGGGTTTCATCCCCCTGAGTGCCGAGGAGCCCCCTCCCTCCTAAAGGGTGGGAGGGGTCTGGGTGGGGGAGGGAACAGGCTGGATGTCCAGGCCCCGGCCCCCACTGGCCAGGCCGACAGCCCTCCACAGTCCACAGCCTGCAGAGCCCAGGCTGGGAGCCTGCCCTCCCCCACTGCCTGCTGACCCCCGAGGGGCCTGCCCCACCACTCTGCCCCCCGCCCCGGTTTCCCCACCTGTGGGAGGGGCCACTGCTGACCAGCCCTCCCCTCCACAGCTTCCTGCGGGCCCCCTCTGCCTCGGCCATCGAGTCCCTGAAGCGCTGCCTAAAGTCTGACCGCCTCTGCCTCCTGAGCCGCCACCTGGCCCTGCACCTGCAGGGCCCCCACGGCGGCCCCTTGGCCCCCGCCACAGCCCCGGGCAGCTCCCAGCCCCAGGGCCTGACAGCTGTGGAGGCAGAGTCCTGGGAGGAGCCCACGGGCCTCCTGGGCCTCCCCAGCACCCTGGCAGGCATACAGGACCCACGGCTGGAGGGCGCACTGCACCTGCTCCTGGCCCAGCAACAGCTGAGGGCCAGGGTGGGCAGTGCCAGGCTGAGGGCCACCCCCATGCCAGGGGAGACACTGCCTTCCCCACCACTCGGCCTGGACGCCAAGGGCCCCGAGAGTGAGGGGGCTGGGGCAGCTCTGCCCACATCAGCCCTTGCTAGGGGGCGGCAGCCACAGCCCAGAGGCCCAGGCAGCCCCGGGAAGGAGACCACCCAGGACTGTGCCCCAGACAAGCCCCTGGACCTCTCAGACCGGGGCCGGAATGGCCTCAAGCTTGCCGTGTGGCCTGAGTCACTGGGCCCTGCAGGCACCCGTGCCCTGAGCCCAGAGCCCCCCCAAGGAGCCGAACCACCTGCCCTGACGCACAGCCCTGGGGCACTCGGCAGTGACACCAAGGAGACCGGAGCGCCAGAGTCGGAGGAGCCGCCCACGCCCGTGGTAAGGGGTCCCGCCCTGGCCTCCATGTCCGCCCCTCCCCCACAGCTGGCAGCCACTCCCCTCTCCCAGCCCCTCCAAGCCAGGTCCAGGGACAGCGCTGGCCACCCTGGTCACGGCAGAGGGAAGGGCTGAGCCTCCGCCCCACGGGCTGTGTCCACACCGACTCAAGCCGTCCGTGCGCCCACAGGCACCGCGATGGCCTTTCCCCTCTCCAGGAGGGACAGCAGAGGAGGCCGGAGCAAGGCCAAAGCCAGCCGCCCACCTGCAGGGGCCTGGCAGTGGCGGCCACCCAGGTAAACTGAAGCCCCCAGAGGCTCAAGAGTCCGGCAGGAGGTGGCTCGCAGGGAGGGTCCAGTGTCAGCGTCAGCCCGTGGGGTGGCCGGTCCCGGTCACTGGCCACGGGACAAGAGCCTCTGGCCCTTCTGCAATGGCTGGGGCCCTGGCGCAGGGGCACTGGAGACCCAGGCCCGGGCTGCCTCCAGTCGGCAGGCGCCCTGGGCACCCTGCATGGCCCTCTGTGCCTCGCTGCTCCCGCTCCCGGTCTGGAAGGCTTGGGAGACCCCCAGGGTCACCAGCCCAGCTGACCCAGCCCCCACATCCTTCAGAGCTCAGCAAGGCTGGAACACAGAGACCAGAGACGGATGAACTGGACGAGCCCGACCCCTCAGACAGCGAGGTGGGCCCCGGCTACGCCCCTGGGGGAGGCCCTGGTCGGGGGGGGGGGCGCCTGCCCCGACTGTGCCCCCTTCTGCCCAGCTGATGTACTCGGCTATGCCCCTGGGGGAGGCCCTGGTCAGGGTGGGGGCTGCCTGCCCCGACTGTGCCCCCTTCTGCCCAGCTGATGTACTCGGCTATGCCCTGGGGGAGGCCCTGGTCAGGGTGGGGGCTGCCTGCCCTGACTGTGCCCCCTTCTGCCCAGCTGATGTACTCGGCTACGCCCTGGGGGAGGCCCTGGTCAGGGGTGGGGGCTGCCTGCCCTGACTGTGCCCCCTTCTGTCCAGCTGATGTACTCGGCTATGCCCTGGGGGAGGCCCTGGTCAGGGTGGGGGCTGCCTGCCCTGACTGTGCCCCCTTCTGTCCAGCTGAGCGCCAAAGCAGAGGCTGAGCCAAGCACGCCCGGGGCAGGGCCCAGGTGCACCCAGGAGCAGCGGCAGAAGAGGAAGCCGGCCTCAGAACTGGGGGGCAAAGGTACCGCCCTTGGGCGGGGGCCAGGGGCAGCAGCACATGCCCCTCACATCTCTCCTCTGGCCACCTGGACAACGGCATCCCCAGATCAGCAGGAGCCAGAAACAAACGCCCCCCAACCCCTGTGGCGCAGAGCCCGGGCGGCCAGGGCAAGGCTGTGTGGCCTCTTCCTGGGTGGCCTGGGGTCTCAGGGTTCCCATGACCACAGCCGAGGGCAGTCCTGGTCACCACCAGCATCCCGGGGAGAAGGGGCCTCCAGGCCCACAGGAGCGGCCCCCAGAGGTGGTGGGGTCCCCAGGACCCTCCCGTCCACCTCCAGGCAAGAGCCGCCCCCGCTGGGCAGAGGTGTGTCTGCCACCGGGGACCCCGGTGGGGCCTTTGGGCTCAGCTCTTCCCACCAAGGCGGGTGGGAGCCTGGGCCCCGGTCCACCCTCGGCAGGACAGCGACCCGCTTCCCGCCCCGAGCACGAGGGCGGCTCCGGCCAGGCCGCCAGGAGCCCACAAGGCCTTTGAACACCCAAGCTAATCATCGGGCACCCTCGTGTTTATCCAAGCAGGGCCCGGGACGCTGCGGCCTGGGCAGCCACAATGTGCCATTGTTGCCAGGAAGGTGACCGGGGCCTGTGTTTGCTCGGAGCGAGGGGAGGAGGCCGGCGCACCTGTTTGTTCCAGACACTTCCTGCTGTCTGGGTGGGGCACAGCCGGCTGGGGAGTGAGGCGGTGGAGGGGAGCCCCTTCCCTGTCCTCCCACCCACCCAGGGAGCACAGGCCCCAGCTCCACATTGAGCCCGTGGAGAGTAGGAGCCCCCTAACCCTGCCCAGGTCACGGGGCTGGCGCCCAGCACTGCTCTGCGATAGGTGCACCTGACGCCCAGCAGCACGGCAGGTCCCGGCCAAGGCCAGCTCAGGGGTGGCCCACGGACGCACTCAGCCAGCGTCTCCCAGATCCTGGGTCTCGCCCGGGAGCTGTGGTGACCCAGCACCTCCTGGCCCTCAGCAAAGCAGCGAGGGAGGCGCCCGGTCAGGGCCGTCTTGGGGCCACAGCCCAGGGCAGCCATCACCCTCCCTCCCCCAAGTCGTCCACACGGCCCCTGACCGTTGCTTCAGGGACGAAGGTGCTCAGCTGACCTCCCCAACAGCAACCCTCGTGAGCCCGAGACGCCCATGGGGCCCCCGGCGACAGCTGGTGTCGCTCCGAGGGGTTCGTGCCCCTGCCTGACCGCGGTCCACTCCCCAACAGCCTCCAAGAAGCTGTCCCGAGGGAGAAGGAAACCGAGAGGGCCTCCGGCCGCAGCCGACGCCCCGGCAAGCCCGAGGGACGCCGAGGACCACAGTCCCTGCCCCAGCGACTGGGAGGAGACCTAGCCAGGCCAGGCCGGGGGTCGCCCCACTGGCCCTCGGGGCCTCGAGGCAACAGGACACACTGCCAACTGCACAGAGCCCGGCACGGCCTCTGGAGGGCTGGGGCCCGGCCACTTCCTGAAGCATCCGGTCCTCCCCTCCTCAGCCCAGCATCCAGCCCCACCCCGCGGGAAGCACCTCCCACCTCAGGTTCGAAGCTGGACAGTCCAGGGCCCAGGGCCCGGAGCACCCCAGAAGGCACGGAGCTCCAGCCACGGACTCAGGCGCCCCCTCGTGGAGCCCCAGCAAACTAGCATCGGCACCCGGCAGGGGGCCCCAGGGTGCTCCGAGAATAAACAGAATAAATGCGTGAAGAATGGCCTTCCCCTCCCCCGTGGGGACCACGTCCCAGGGCCAGGAATGCCAGCACCCTAGGGGAGAGGGGACAAAGCCAGCCGTCTGCTGCCCCACAGAGGGCTGATGGGCGCAGGGGCCCTGCAGCAATGGCGGAGGCCGGGAAAGGGGTGTGCACCTGCTCGGCAGAGCCCCCGCCCCCATCCCCAAGCCTGCCACCACGTCCTGCTGTGCAGCCCACAGCCCTGGACAAGGTGCGTCTCAGTGACCCCGCCCCGTTCTCAGTGGAAGACAGGCTCCCGGCCCCTCCCCCAAGCCCACTGAGCCCCGACCCTGGGGAGGGGGCTGGGGGTCTGCTACAAGACGTTCCCAGGGAGCAGTAACTGAGGACCACCCCTTCGGGACAGACGCAGACACTGACCCGTCACGTGGGTCTGTGGGTCAGGGTGATGGCCCCTGGCCAGGGTCCAGCGAAGGGAAGCCGACCCTGGGGAGGTCGGGAGGGGGTGGCATCTGAAACCCAGGTCCGTTGGGCAGGCAGCGGGGCAAGGGTGATGCGGGAAGTGGGGACGGCCAGGAAGTCACCGAGGGACGTGGCCTGCGATCAGGACAACCTTGACACGTGACACCCACGAGAGGCCAGGGTGGGGGCCAAGGAGAACTCTCCAGTCCAGAACTGGACCTCCCGGCCCAAGCAGAGGCACCAGTGGCCTTCAAGCGGACACGGAGGGGCTGAGCCAGGAGCCGCACTCCCACACCGCTCAGACGGCAGGGGGTGCAGGCCTCACCAAGGGGGGCGCTGCTGCTGGCCTGAGATGGACTGGAGTCCAAGAGAGAAGTCCAGGCGTGGGCACCGCCCACACCACCTGCAGGCCCAGGGTGGCGGGGACTGGGGAGGGAGCGCCCAGGCCCCGGGGAGACCACCTTCCTCCTCGAGGCTCTGCAGACCGGGTGGGCCGCAGCCCCGAGGCCTCCCTCTGTCCACCTCCCCTCACTGGACACCTGCTTCTTTGCTGCACACCTGTGTCTGCCCCACCCAGGACCACCTGCCCGACAGGTTCAGGGTGCAGGGCCCACGGAGTCCCCCGCCCGGCACACGCGGGTCAGGGAAGCAGGTACTCGCCTGCGGTCACCTGGGAAGTGGCAGCCAGAAAGCGTGGACTGGACCCGCGCATAGCTACTCCAGCCCCAGCCCTGCCCTCCACAAGCCGTCCGGGACTGGCCAGAGGCCTCAAAGGCCAGTTGGAGGAGCAGAGAGGAAAGCAGACGAGACTGGACCCCAGCTGGTCACCGAGGGAGGGGGCTGCCAAGGCAGGAGGTGGCTCAGGAAAGTGTCCCCCCCACCTCCCCCGTGGCCTGCAGCTGCTGCCGCCCACACCCCCCAGGGCCAGTCCCTGGCCCCCAGCATGGCAGAGGTGTGCAGTGACCACCACCGGGGCTGCCCAGCCCTCCTGTGCGGGCAAACCCCGCAGCCAGAGCCAGCTGCACCCGACGACAGCCCCAGGTGGCAGTGGCCGTCCCCACTGTGAGTGACACAGGCTGCAAGCAGACACAGGTGGGCGCCGGCGCAGGTGTAGGCGGGAAGCCTGGGCAGCCGCCCACTCCCCTCAGACCCTGGCTCTTCTAAGCGAACGAGGGAAGCCGGTGGCAAGGGGGGGTTACCGACCCACGCCCGCCACGCTCACGGGAGGACACCGAGGCACACCGACGTCCCCCAGGCTGGGGCCTGCCCACGCCGCAAACGGGGAGGCACACCGCGCACGCCACAGCCCGGCGCCCCCGCAGCTCTCGAGGCGGGATCTGAACCCGCGCAACCGCTCGCTGCCCTGGGCGGCTTCCGGCTCCCCGGGGCCGAGCCCCAACTCCCTCTAAGACCCAGGGGAGCGCCCGCTGGCACGGCGCCCGCCGCGGCAGTGGTGGCCAATGGGCGGGCGCGCCGGAGGTAGATTTGCATACGGGCGCGCCGCCGCCAATGGGAAGCAGGCGGCACGCTCGAGGGGCGGCCGCGGCCGCGCTGGCCAATGGGCGGGCGCGCCGAGGAGGCATTTGCATGCGGGCGCTCCGCGGCCAATGGGCGGCGGGCGGCGGCGCGGGCGGCTCACTCGCAGGATGGCCGCGGCCGCGGCGGGTGGAGCCCCGGGCCCGGCCCCCGGCCCCGCCGCGGCGCCGCCGGCCCCGGCCGCCCGGAACCCGCCGCCGGCGCTGCGGAGGCGCGGGGACTCGCGGCGCCGCCAGGCCGCGCTCTTCTTCCTCAACAACATCTCCCTGGACGGGCGGCCGCCCAGCCTGGGCCCGGGCGGCGAGAAGCCCCCGCCGCCGCCGCCGCCGCTGCCGCCGCCCGCCGAGGCCCGCGAGCCGCCCGCGCCGCCGCCCGCGCCGCCCGCCGGCCTCCCCGGGCTGCCTGCCAGGACCCCCGCGCCCCAGGGCCTCCTCAGCCCCACGCAGGCCCCCGCCGGCCTGGGGCTGGACGGGCCGCGCCAGAGGTGAGTGGGGGCCGGAGGGCGGGGCAGCCCCGGACCCGGGGGTCGAGGGCCCAGGGGGTGCGGGTGGCCTGGCGCCCTGTCACCCCAAGGCGAGGGAGTGAGGTGGCCCGGGAGCCCGTCAGCCTAGAACACCGAGGTGGGCCGACCCGGCCGTGAGGGCGGACACAGGGGTTGGGGTGACCCGGGGACCTGTTAGCCCCGGGCTCGGGGTTTGGGGCCGCCTGAGGCCTTCTGAGCCCTGGACGGAGTTGGGGTGCCCTGGGGCTGCCGGCTGCAGACATAGGGCCGGGGGCGCCCTTAGCTCTGAGCCCCACCTGGAGACGCCCGGACACAGGTGCGGCAGCTCTCAGCACTGCCCCTCCCCCACGCGCTTGGCCCCTGCCCTGGAGTCTGGCCCCCCCTCCGTGTGCCCCTCTGCATTTGCACCTCGTGGGCCGGGGTCTTCCCCATGCCGTTCCTCTGCCCTCCGCACTGCGCGGGACCCCCAGTGCCCACCGCGGCCAGCGTCCTGGGGCTGGCCCTGCAGCACATGGCCCTGGCCAGAGGGGCCTGGCGGACAGGCGCCCGTGCCCTTCCAGGTCGCTCTGGGCCTGCTGACCCCGCAGCCCGGGGTCACGGCGCAGACCGAGCCAGGGAGAGGCCTCTCGGTGGCCCCTCCCTGGGTTGCAGGGGCGCTGTCCTCACCTGGAGGTCATTGGCCGCACTGGCCGTCCTGGCGTGGCAGCCAGGGGCTGGGGGCGGCCGCGTCCAGAGCACAGCGCTCGCGGGGGTCCTGCCCCGCCTGGCCTTGGCTCCCAGGCCCCGCCCGCCGCTGCCTGGCCAGACGGGGGCCAGACCCCCGCCGCGGGACCGCGCACAGCCTTCGGGATGTGGCTGCCGCGCCCGTGTGCTTGCCCCGCACGGCACGGCACTCCTGGGGGACGAGCCCGCTCCCGGGGGACGGGGCCGTCGTGACTGACGGGGCCGTGACTGACGGGGCCGTGACGGGGGCTGTGCTGGGGGCCGTGCTGGGGGCCGTGCTGGGTGCAGGCCCGGGTTCAAATCCTGCTTCACCACTCACAGCCCTGTGGCCTTGAGCAGCTGACTGGCCGGGGCCTCTGCTCTGTGAGCCCCACTGTGTGACCCCACTGTGTGAGCCGGGTTTGCCTTGGGCACTTCCTCCCGGCCGGGCGTTGGTCTCTGGCCGTGAGGCTCTGTCTCGCATGTGGCGTGTTCTGCGGAACCAGGAACAGTCTCCACCCAGGCGTCCTGACTTCCATGGACCCTCTGACACTACTTGCCTCCATTTTTTTTTTTTTTTAATTTATTTGAAAGTCAGGGTTAGAGAGAGAGAGAGAGAGAGAGAGAGAGGTCTTCCATCCGCTGGGTCACTCCCCAGATGAGTGCAACAGCCAGAGCTGTGCCAAACCGGAGCCAGGAGCTTCCTCCAGGACTCCCACGTGGGTGCAGGGCCCAAGGACCCGGGCCATCCTCCACTGCTTTCCCAGGCCACAGCAGAGAGCTGGATCGGAAGTGGAGCAGCCGGGACTCGCACCGGCGCCCATATGGGATGCCGGCACTGCAGGCAGAGGCTTAGCCGACTGTGCCACAGCCCGAGAGCAGGCCGGGTCTGGGGTGGGCCGGGCCTCACGGCCGGTGCTCTGCCCTGCTCCCGGGCTGCTGTCTCTCCCTGGGGGCCCGTGTGTGACTCAGGAGCCTGCAGACCGCTGACCACGGGTCCTCGCCCGGTCCTGGAGACCAGCGTCAGGTCCCCGCGTCGAAGGCGGCGCTCCCAGTGCAGCGTGGGGACGTCCTCCAGGCCGTGTCCCTTCCGTGGGACGTCTGCCCCGTGTCTGTTTTCCTCAGGCACTGGTCAGTGCCTTAGCGGCCCCCCGCACCACATCCTGCTCTGCACCCCCGCTGAGGCCCCGCCTCCAGACGTGGGCCGTGCACACATACTGGGGTCAGGGCCTCCGCCTGTCTTTTTGGAGGACGCGGTTCAGCCACAGCACTAACAGGGACAAGGTGACATCTGCACGGTGAGTGACCGCACACTCAGCCACGTGTGGCCACGCACAGCGCAGGGGCGCAGCCGGGAGGCGAGAGGGCTGGGCTGCACAGTCTCCGAGGAGGACACGGCTGCGGCCGTAGGAGCGCCCAGGAGTCACTGGGCATCCCCGAGTGCCCGTCCGTCCCACTGGGCGTCCCCGAGTGCCCGTCCGTCCCACTGGGCGTCCCCGAGCGCCCATCCACCCCACTGGGCGTCCCCGAGCGCCCGTCCATCCCACTGGGCGTCCCCGAGCGCCCGTCCATCCCACTGGGTGTCCCCGAGCACCCGTCCGTCCCACTGGGCGTCCCCGAGTGCCCGTCCGTCCCACTGGGCGTCCCCGAGTGCCCGTCCATCCCACTGGGTGTCCCCGAGCACCCGTCCACCCCACTGGGCGTCCCCGAGCGCCCGTCCGTCCCACTGGGCGTCCCCGAGTGCCCGTCCGTCCCACTGGGCGTCCCCGAGTGCCCGTCCGTCCCACTGGGCGTCCCCGAGCGCCCGTCCGTCCCACTGGGCGTCCCCGAGCGCCCATCCATCCCACTGGGTGTCCCCGAGCACCCGTCCACCCCACTGGGCGTCCCCGAGTGCCCGTCCATCCCACTGGGCGTCCCCGAGTGCCCATCCATCCCACTGGGCATCCCCGAGCGCCGGTCCACCCCACTGGGCGTCCCCGAGTGCCCGTCCATCCCACTGGGCGTGCCCGAGTGCCCATCTGTCCACCACTTCCTGTCTGGTTCAGGACAGTCCGTGCTTACGACTCGCATTCGGGTCTCCTGGTTCTCCAGGTGCAGGGAAGCTTCCAGCGGCAGCCGGAGCCCCGGCCGAGGCGGCCGTGCCAGCGGTGTGGGGAGGGGCCGTCCACCTTGCTGGGCTCAGTGACACGGGGTACCCAGGCCTGCCCGCTTGCCAAGCAGAGGTGCCCCAGGGGCCGCAGTGTGCCAGGCACAACGCTCAGGCCAGGCAGGGAGCCGGGCCCAGAACGACCTCCACCAGGAGCACTGAGAAGCCAGTGCGAGTCGACCGCAGGCTGTGGGTGACGGCGGCAGCCCTGGCGTGCGCTGACCCTGCTCATGTGTGTGCACACGGGTGACGGTGCCAGCCCTGGTGTGCTCTGACCCTGCTCATGTGGTGTGTGCACACGGGTGACGGTGGCAGCCCTCGCGTGCTCTGACCCTGCTCACGTGTGTGCACACGGGTGATGGTACCATCCCCTGGTGTGCTCTGACCTTGCTCACGTGTGTGCACACGGGTGACAGTGCCAGCCTCTGGTGTGCGCTGACCCTGCTCACATACCACGTGGGCTGGCCCCTCACTCGGCTCTGGGTCTGTAGCCATGGCCTGGCCTTGAGACCCCAGCGTGGCAGCCCAGCCTTGGCCGTCCTCTTCTGTCCGCATAGTCACGAGCAAGGAGGCTTCTGGGACAGGAGAAGCGGGGTGTCCCTCCCGTGTGAGTCTGGGAGGGGCAGCAAGTGTCCGCCGCTGACGAAGGGGCAGTGGGACGCCGGGGTGCCCCGCCCTCTTGGCAGCTCCGCTCACCCGACTCCAAGCCCCTTCGCCCCTAAAGTCCAGGGGGCAGCTGCAGGCGGTCACTGCCACGTGGGCGGCCACTGTGGACGCCATCCATGCCGTGTGACTGACGTGGCTGGGCGGGAGGCACTCAGCAGGACTCGGCTCTGCCTGCGCCCAGGGTCTGGGAATGGAGGGCGATAGCTGTGGTTTTTTTTTTTTTTTAAGATGTATTTTACGTATTTGAAAGGCAGAGTTACGGGGAGAAACAGAGAGAGGTCCTCCATCCACTGGTTCACTCCCCAGATGGCTGCAATGGCCAAGGCTGGGCCAGGCCAGAGCCAGGAGCTTCGTCCGGGTCTCCCCCATGGGTGCAGGGGCCCAAAGACCTGGGCCGTCTTCCACTGCTTTCCCAGGCCGTAGCAGGGAGCTGGGTCAGAAGTGGAGCCGCCAGCACAGCAGGCCGGCCCAGCTGTGGTTCTCGGTGGTTTGCTCGGCTGCAGCACTTAGTGATGTCAGGGGAGCCCGTGGCCGTGAGCCTGCAGCTCGGCACACGCGTGCTGCCGGGGCCTCGGTACAGCCCGCTCTGGGGACGGTTTTCCCTTGGGCCGTGCCCACCGGGACCCTGACGGGGGGGCCCGTGTCACGTGTGAGCATCCTCACACCTGTGCCCGTGGCGTGGTTGTGTGGCTTCCTGGTGACCTGCACCTGCTGCATTTCTGTGTGGCCGGGTCGGGCACAGAGTGCACGGTGGGACTCCCAGGAGGAGAGACCAGAAGACCCCGAGAACTGCCGGCGTGGCCTCCACTTGGCCGACCACAGAGCGCCCCCAGGAGCGAGTCCCTGACAGCTCCGGGCCTCGGTTTCCCCACTTGTCGGCGAGGATCGGCCTTAACAGTGCAGCACAGAGAGAGAACATGGCAGAGCGAGACCTGGAACAGCCACGGGGTCTGGTTTGCGGGCGTGGGGAGAAGGGACGCGTCATCCCCACCATGAGCACACAGGAGGCACGGAGGGCTGGGTGGGGCTGTGGCTTCCGCCAGTGCCTCTGAGGGCCAGGGGTGGGAGCCGCCGGCCCCATGGGAGTCATTAGCTGAAGGAGGGCGCCGGGGACAGACCGGGGTTTCCTCCACCCCTTCTTTTCCCGGATGGGGTCTGGTGCCTCCCGGGGCAGGGCCGGCACCTGAGCCGTCACCAGTGCCCCAGCCCGCCCGCTGTCACCCCCTGGAGCAGCACCGTCCTGGCCAGGTGTCTGGGCCCCTCGCCTGCCTGCACCGCCCGCCAGGGGTGATGGAGACAGCCCTCTGCAGGGGCGAGGCGCGCGGTTTCATCAGACTCACTTCTGGTTTCAGTTCAAGTTCATTTTCTGCAAACTCCTGTTGCCTTTGTCTCCTAAAAATCTTAACCTGAGGAATGACAGGCAGAGGGAGGGTTCCTACGTGTTGGTGTCAGGGCTGCGGTGGCCATGTGACCTCTGGCAGGTGCAGAGCCTCCGTGCACCTGCCGGGGCCACCCTGGGCAGTTAGGTGCTGGGAGTGTGGAGCAGCCCGAGGCACGCGCTTGGTGAGGGTGCGGGAGGGGAGCTGGACGCGCTCGGTGAGGGTGCGGGAAGGGAGCTGGACTCCTGGCCGCCTCCCCCAGGGAGTGCCCTGCTGGGAGGAAGGCCCGAGAGGAAGCAGGGGGGCTCGTGACCTGAACCTGGCTCTGTCCCTGCTGCCAGTTCGCAGGGGCTGGTTCTGGCCATCAGCCCGCTGGTCAGGACCACGCGGCTCCAGTTAACCCACGGGCTTCCCCGTGGCCCTGCCTCCCAGACGGGTCCCCGGGCTGAGGGAGGCCGCCGTGTGGGGGACGGGTCCCCGGGCTGAGGGAGGCCGCCGTGCGGGGGGCGGGATCTCTGGCGCCGGCTCTCGTCCATGTCGTCTGTGTGTCTGCTTCCCTGGTGCCCTGGGCAGCGTGGCCCAGTGAGTGCTCTGAGCCGTGCCCAGGCCTCACTGTCGCTCACATCTCCCACCTGCCCCCCGGTTGTCGGCTCAGCCGCGGTGACAGTGCCAGGGACCTCGCGCTCCGCAGGCTGGGAGTCAGGTGCAGCATCGGGGTGGGCCGGGTCCTTCCGAGGCTGTGCGAGGGCTGCGGCCGCCCCTGTGGCTTCTGGAACAGGAGGCGAAGCCGTGCCGTCGCAGGGACCGGGGCGGTGTCCCGGCTCCGCCCGTGCCGCCTGGCGGCTGTGGGAGCTCCAAGTTAACTGTGCCATGCCCTGAGGGAAGCTGGTGGTCAGGCATTCATTCAACAAATACTTGGCTCGACTTTCTGCTCACAAAAGATGGCTGGGAGGCGGGGTGCCCTCCTGGGGGTGTCGGGTGCCCTCTGGGGGTCTTCCCCTCCCTCGGCAGGGCCTGGCACTCCCGTGTACCGTGTTCCTTCCTGTTCAGAAGCAGTGAGACAGACGTGCAGAGGGACAGTGTGGCAGCCCAGGCTCCCTGTGGGAGGGGCGCCAGGACCTCCACGAGGGGGCACAGCCCAGCCGCCCCCAGGAAGAGCTGTGAGATGCTGAGTCAGACACGACCTGGGTGTGGTGCCCACTCCTGCCCGGTCTCGGAGGACTGCGGTGGTCAGGCCAGCGGTTTTTAAAACTTCACTAATCTTTACTTTGTAACTTCTTTACCGCTGGCCTGGTAACTTGGTCAGAAACTGAAACACAAGAACGCCCCCCACCCCGAATCTGGGTCCCGGGCACAGGGGTGCAGGGCAGCGCTGGGGGCTCTGGGCCGTCACGCGCAGCTGGGTGCAGCCCTGGCACTGGGCTCCGGCCGCCTCTGGGAGCCCAGGCCCAGGCGGCCCCGCAGCAGAGCCCTGAGCCTTGGAGCTGGAGGCCTTCCTTGGCCCTGGGCTGACCCCGGGGCCTCACTGGCACAACGGGCACCGCAGCCGCCAGGACCTGGTCACGGTGGCGGCCTTGAGGCGGATGACCGGGCTTGCGTTTGCTTTTTTCAGATTTATTTGTGTATTTGAAAGGCAGAGATCTTCTCCTGCTGGTTCGTGTCCCACATGGCCACACAGCCAGGGCTGGGCCAGGCTGAACACAAAGCCAGGAGCTCCATCGGGTCTCGCACGCGGGGGCAGGGCCCAAGGTCTCGGGCCGTCGTCCGCTGCCTGACTGAGCTGGAACCAGAGGCGGAGCAGCCAGGACTCGCGTTGGCTCCCACACAGGATGCTGGCGTCATAGCAGCCCCCCGCCTTCACCTTGACCTGCGGTGTAGCCGTGGGGGTCTCTGGGATCCCAGGCCTTAGCCCCCCGCAGCACGTGGCGCTGGGAGGCCACCGCCTGCGGTCCCCGTGGGGGAGTGCCAGTGCTGCTCCTGGGGGCTCATGGGACGCGCAGGGGGCAGCCCTGCACCTGCCGGGCGACACTCGGGGTGGCGGGGCTGGGACTCCTGTTAGCGCTCAGTGTCACAGGAAGGATACTGGGGTTCCGGCCGCCCCTGCCCAGCGTCCAGCAGGAGATGGCTGTTGGACGAGCTGGTGGAGAGCTGCAGGCCCGGGGACAGCCCCCCCACCCCGGCCATGGTGGGAGGGCGTGGCCCGTGCTCTGCTCTCCCGTGCTGGCCTTGTTGGACCCCCCGGGGGCAGGGGCAGGGGCAGGGGCGGTGGGCCTGGCCCCCCCGTGCAGAGCCTGCCCCACCGGCCCGGGGGGCTCCGGGACGTTCTGAGGCCCGCGTGTCGCCCTTCCAGGAGGCGCGTGGCGTCCCAGCGCTGCTCCCTGGAGTTTCTGGAAGATGCGGTGGGCTGTGCCGCGGCGCAGAGGTACGCGCCCGCCCTGCCTGCCTGCCGGGGCAGCCGCTGACTCCGGGGGGGGGAGGGCTCCCGGGGCAAAGGAGCCACCTGCCTGTCCTCGCAGGAGCAGACACACGTCGGGGTCCCCGCGGCAGAAGGGCCTGAAGAAGACTCACTTCATCAAGAACATGAGGCAGTACGACACCAAGAACAGCAGGTGCTGGGGCGGGGGCGGGGCGCGGCCGGAGGGGCCGTCCTGGGGAGCCGTCCTGGGGAGCGCCGGGAGCCTGAACCCAAACCTCAGGCCAGGTGCAGCCAAGCCCTGAGGCCCCGCCCCCGCCCCCTTTCCCAGCCAGACCCGGGTGGTCTGCCCACCGGAGCCTGTGGGTCCCGCCTGCATCCTCCCGGGCCGGCTGGGCTCTGACCGCAGGGCTGGTGCCTGCCCCGAGGCCTGGCCCTGGGCAGACGAGCCCCCTCGCCCTGTGCCCCTGCCCTTCGCAAAGCTGCATTCCTGGTGGGCGGCCCCCAGCTCCGCTGAGCATCACCGCCACGGCAGGAGCGCCCACGCCTGCCGCCCCGGCACCCGGCATTCTGGGCCGGTTTCCCATCACCCGTTTTCCCCGCTGCCCTCGGCCCTGACCCGGCCTCCCCTCCGCCAGGATCGTGCTCATCTGCGCCAAGCGCTCCCTGTGTGCGGCCTTCTCAGTCCTGCCCTATGGAGAGAGCCTGCGGGTCTGGTGAGTGGGCAGGGCCCAGACCAGGCCCCACCGCGGATACCCGGGGCCCCAGACCAGGCCCCGCCGCGGATACCCGGGCCCCCAGACCAGGCCCCGCCGCGGATACCCGGGGCCCCAGACCAGGCCCCGCTGCGGATACCCGGGGCCCCCAGACCAGGCCCCGCCGCGGATACCCGGGGCCCCAGACCAGGCCCCGCCGTGGATACCCGGGGCCCCCAGACCAGGCCCCGCCGCGGATACCCGGGCCCCCAGACCAGGCCCCGCCGCGGATACCTGGGCCCCTGTCCCACCAAGCTGGGCCCAGGCAGGCGCGAGCCACACCCCTCCCACAGGCCCTGCCCCAGGCCCCGGGCGGCCATGCGGTCCTCGCTTGCTCTCCGGGGCAGCCACCGTCCGCCCCTCTCGTGGACACGGCCAGGCCAGGCAGTCTGGTCCCGGGCGTGATCCTGGGAAGGCGGTGGGGCCGGCGCTGTGTCCCTGGCACGTCCCCCAGCTGGGAGGCAGACCCAGGGTCTGGGTACCTGGAAGTGGACTTGGGTGGACGTCGCGGCACCGTGGCCCCCATGCGGCTTGGGCAGCTGTGACTGCCCGGGGGAAGAGTCGGGCCGCAGGACGACCTCACCTGGCTCCCTGCCGTGGGCTTCCCGACCTTGCCGCGTGGGGAGCGCGTGGCATCACGGGCTCTGCGTGGACAGAAGGCCACGGCATGGCCCTTTCTTGTGCTGCAGTGACCTGAGGGTGGACAGCCAGAAGCAGAGGCACCCGTCCGGCGGCGTGTCCGTGTCCTCCGAGATGGTCTTTGAGTTGGAAGGCGTTGAGCTGGGAGCGGATGGAAAGGCAAGGGTCCTGTGGGTAGCCGATGCCCAGCACGGTCAGGGCCGGCCAGGCAGGGGTGACCAGCACGGTCAGGGCCGGCAGGGCAGGGGTGACCAGCACATCTGAAGTAGAGGGTGGGAGTGGGGTGAGCCAGGGGCTCGTGGAGGTGGACCTAGGGTGCCTTGGTCAGCAGCTCCCCTGCGGCCTGTCTGCAGGGTGGGGCCCACTGGGCATGGGGCCCCTGCCCCTGTGCTGGTCTGAGGTCAAGGTCTTCAGAAACAGGGAGGACCTAGCAGTGCTACAGATCCCAGAGAAGAGCAGGAATGTTCTGGAATGTCCCGTCACGTGAGAATTTCACTGCCCCCCCCCCCCAGGCAGCTGCACCAAGCTCAGAGCCGCGTCCCTGGGTCTGCGTGGGGCGCGGGACCGAGTTCCCCTCGCTTGCTTTTCCAGGTCGTGTCGTACGCCAGGTTCCTGTACCCTACCAACGCCCTGGTCACACACAAGAGTGACAGCCACGGCCCACTGCCCCAGCCACGGCCCAGCGTGCCGCGGGCGCTGCCGGGGTCCAGACACAAACCCATCCCCTCCAAGCCAGCGCCAGCCGGCCCGGAACTAGGTATCCCTCACGCCTTCCCAGGGCGGGTCCCGCGGCCACCTGCCAGAGACCGCCCTGTGCAGGCCTCACGGACACGGACAGACCAGGGGGCCTGGGCGCCAGGGCGGGCGGGCACTAACCTTGCCCTAACCCCCACCCCTCCCTCCCCTCGGGGAGGCCCTCCTGTCGGGACCCCTTCCCTTCACCCATTGTCCCGCGTGGCTGTGGTCCCTCAGCCTGGAGGCCAGATGGGCGTGGCTGTGGCTCAGGGCTGCCCTTTCCAGGGGGCGACGGGGGAGACGCCCTGGAGTACAACCCCAACCTGCTGGACGATCCTCAGTGGCCGTGCGGCAAGCACAAGCGAGTGCTCATCTTTGCCTCCTACATGGTGAGCGGGAGCCCCCCACGACGGGGGGGGGGGGGGGGGGGGAGGGGGGGACACACCCACGACCCCAGGGGGTGACCCCCACACCCATGACCCCAGGGGACAACGCCTCCACACCCACGACCCTGGGGGGGGACACACCCATGACGGGGAGGAGGGGTGATGCCCCCACACCCACAATTCCGGGCCACACCCACGACCCAAGGCCACACCCCCGCGCACCTGCAGCTGGGACCCCAAGGACTCCTGGATTCTGTTGTCCTCTCATTGTTTTCATTTTTATTATTATTTACTTGAAAGAGTTAGAGTAAAAGGTCTTCCATCTGGTTCACTCCCCAGACAACCAGGGCTGGGCCAGGCCAGGGGCTGCGTCCAGGTCTCCCACCTGGGGCTGGGCCAGGCCAGGGGCTGCACCCAAGTGCTTGAGCCACGTTCTGCTTCCTTCCCAGGCCTTAGCAGGGAGCGGGATCGGAGGTGGAGCGGCTGGGACTCGAACCAGCGCCCACGTGGGATGCCGGCACTGCAGGCGGCGGCTTCACGGGCTACGCCACAGCGCCGGCCCCTTTAAGTGTATTTCTAGAGGAAACTTACTTGAGAGGCAGGCTGGGGGCTAAGCCGAGGCCCCGGAACCGGGCCTTGGCGGCCGGCGGCCAGACCCACCCCCTGCTTGCAGACCACGGTGATAGAGTACGTGAAGCCCTCCGACCTCAAGAAGGACATGAACGAGACCTTCCGCGAGAAGTTCCCGCACGTCCGGCTGACGCTGAGCAAGATCCGCAGGTGAGGGCGCGGGACCAGGAGCCCGTGTGTGCCCGCGTGTGCCCGCGTGTCGCCTGGGCCCGCCTGCCCCGGCCGCGAGGGCGCCGAGCCCACAGCAAGGGCGGTCAGGGCTGTCCTGGGTCCGCTGCCCCCGCCCCGTCCCGCCCTGACCGCCCCGCCCGCCCGCCCGCAGCCTCAAGCGCGAGATGCGCCGCGTGTCCGAGGAGTGCAGCCTGGAGCCGGGCGCCGTGTGCACGGCCTACGTGTACTTCGAGAAGCTCGTGCTGCAGGGCAAGCTGCACAAGCAGAACCGCAAGCTGTGCGCCGGCGCCTGCGTGCTGCTGGCCGCCAAGGTCAGCGGCGACCTGCGCAAGGCCGAGGTGAAGCAGCTCATCGACGTGAGTGCCCCGCCCCCCCCCGCGCCCCCACCCCGCTCAGCCCGCGCTCTCCCCCGCCCCGCACCTCCCCTGCGCCCCGCGCCCCCCGCGCACGGCCCCGCTCAGCGCGCGCTCTCCGCCACCCCGCAGAAGCTGGAGGAGCGGTTCCGCTTCAACAGGCGGGACCTCATCGGGTTCGAGTTCACGGTGCTGGTGGCCCTGGAGCTGGCGCTGTACCTGCCGGAGAACCAGGTGCTGCCCCACTACCGGCGCCTCACGCAGCAGCTGTAGGCGCACACCGCCCGCCCCGCATCTTCCGGCAGCGCCGAGACCAGCCGGGCGGGGCCTGGAGCGGGTGTGCGGGCCGCGACGCGCTCGGCCGACAGGATTCGCGCCCCTGAGCGGGCCGGGCGGACTCTCCGTTACCGTCCGGATTTGGGTCTACTGAGAGAACAAACCGGTGCGCCGGGGTCCGCTCCAGCCTAGCTGCCCCCCGCCCGCCAGGAAGGACCGCGCTGTCTCCACGCGGCTCCCGGGCCGCCAACGTCACCCGCCGGCCGCTGCAGGACGGACAAGTCAAAGCCCCTGCTCGCTGGCCGTGTCCGCGCCCCTCGCCACAGCCCGCCCGACTCAGCAGCGGCAGCTCTGCCCTTCGCGCCCCGGCGATGCGGGGGCCACCACCGGCCGTGTGTCGGGCGCAGCCGCGTCTGCTGCCCCCGAGTGTGTTCGCCCAGTAAACGTCGGTTTCGCAGCTTCGCCTCTGCCGGCTCCCGCGTCGCGCGCCCACCCAGCCCCCGCCCGATGCGTGACACAGAGAACCACACGCAGCTCTCCACCGTTTATCCTTTATTTGCCACGATGCGCCACGCCCGTCCGCTCAGAAGTTCCTGGAGGGAGGGATGGAGGGGGTTAGGGGCGGGGTCTCCGCGGCAGCCCGCGCCCCCCGCCCCCGGCGCCCCGGGGTCCTTACTGCGAGACGATGCCGTCGGACTTGGCCAGCCGCAGAATGGAGTCGTCCGACTCCCCCTGGGGACGGAGCTCGCGTTAGGGTCCAGCCCACCCGCAGGCGGGCCCGCCGCCCCGCCCCGCGCCCCCGCCGCACTCACCATCCTGCGGATGGCGCCGCAGATCGCGTACGTCTTGAACTGCCCGTTAAACCTGCCCGTGACCTTGTCGACCTGTGGACACCAAAGCCGCACAGCGCGCCCGCGCCTTCAGCCCGCGCGGCCCCGGCCCCGCCCGCGCCTGCGGCCCCCGCCCGCGCCTGCGGCCCCCGGCCCGCCGCCGCTCACCTCGGCCACGTTCATCTGGATGGACGCGTGGTCCTTGGCCCCGATGATGCGGTTGCTGGCGGAGCTGCGGGAGAGGAAGGGGTGAGCGGGGAGGCGGCCCCGGGGCCGGCACGAGGGCGGCCGGGGGGGGGGCGCTCACCATTTCCGCGGCACGTACAGGTCCACGAACTCGCCGGCGTCGTTCTGCATGTCGAAGCCGCACCTGTGGGGTCAGCGCGGTGCCGTGAGCTCGGCCGGCACCCTCCCGCCCCGGCCTCGACCCCCGCCCGCCGCCCGCCGCCCGCCCCACCTGCTGCCGCCGGGAGCGCGAGGCAGAAAGGAAGTGCCTCGTCCCCCGGCCGCGATATCGGAGGAACGGGGCGGGGCCCGCGAGCACTTCCGGGTCACGGCCCGCCGCGATTCTGCGCAGTGTGGCCTTGGTGGCCGTTAACGTGCTTCCGCTTCCGGCGCAGGGCGGCCGCCCCGGCGCCAGGACAGACGGGGGCGGGGGGCTCGGCTGGGCCGGGTCCGTGGTGTGCGCGCCGCCGCGGGAGGCTGCCTGCTGCCCCTGGGCGCGCTCCCGGTGCCGTCGGACACCAGGCCGGGCTGGGGAGGCGGGGCGCAGGCTGAGGCCGCTTCTCCCACCTGGGCCGCGTTGGCTGCAAGGCTGGGGGCACGCCCTTTGACCCCGCGGACCCGCGCCGGGTGCGCAGCGGCCTGGGGCGAGCAGGGGGAGCCGCCGGGCCCGGGCCGGGGTCCGCTCTGCGCGCGGGCATCGGCCCGGGGGATGGACACGAACCGCGGCAGCCCCGGCCTCCCGGCGGCTGGGGGCCGGACTGGACCCCAGCGGCCTCCCCGTGCGCCGGCCGCGCGTCCTGCTCCCCGGTGCTGGCGGAGCGGGAAGGGCCACCCAGGCGCAGACCGAGCTCACGACGCGCCGTCGCCGCCTCCCGTGTTCGGGGGCAGGCGCAGGGCCGGCTCCGGTCAGCGTTTGCCCAGCCGGGCCCCTGCCCCTGTGCCCACTGCATCAGGTGGGCGGCTGGCGGCTGTCGTAGGCACCACCTGTGGGGCTGTGTCCCCGGGGCCTCTCCCCGCGGCCGGCAGGCGCAGGAGCCCCCAGCCTGGCTGCGGGTGTCTGCGCTTGGGAGGGAGGACCGAGGTCCCCGCGTGCTCTCACGGCCCTGGAGCGGCTGCTGTCTCGTGCCCGCCTGTGACGCCCACGCGCGGGCTGGCCCCGCGAGGGGTTTTCTGAGCGGCCAGAGGCCCGAGGAGGGCGAGGCGCCTGTTCCCGCCGACTAAACCGCAGGGACTCGTGCGGGGCACGGGCGCTTCGGGAGTGGGGTGGTGACCCCCAGCAGCTCCGCAAACAACCTGCACAAGCCCAGGCTTTGCGGACGCGTGCCTGCCTCCCTGCGCTGCGGTGGGGCAGGCGCCCAGCGAGGGAGAGCGCCCACTGCGCACAGAGAAGCCGGAGAGGTGGGGAACCAGCCGGCGGGGGGATCTGATCTAGAACTGACGCAGGTCTGAGACCTCCAGACAAGGACGTTGAGACGTTCTTCCGCGACGTTCCGGGCTCAGAGTTTAAAGCGTTAGAGGACGGGAAGACCCTGGCTGCCCGGGAGGTGCCTGGCCTGCCGGCTTCCCCGCATCGGGACGCCTGCCGGCTGGAGGCCTGGCCCCGGGGTCCCTCTGAGCAGACGGCTCCCAGCTGCGTCCCGGCCCAGCCTCGGCCCTTGCGGGCATTTGGGGAGTGAGCGGTGGGTGCAGGCTGCCGGGCTGCTGAGGGCTGCGCCGGCTGCCGGCTGGCACCGCGTGCGCCCACAGCCTGCCCTCCGTCTGCAGCTCACTTGGCACCCACCGGCCCTCGCCCTGCACGGCTGGCTGTCAGGATGACCACTGCAGTCAGTGTGAGCGTTGCCGCCTTCCGGTCTGGCCTTGTGTGCTCAGGGCCGGGCCACTGCCATTGTCGGAGCCTCCTCCCGAGAAAGGGGCGGGACCTGCACCAGCACACACACACACCCCAGGAGAGGACGTGGGAGCAGAGAGACCCTGAGGAGCCCAGGGTGACCCAGGCTCTGCACTTTCTGATTAGACTTTGCAACACATTCAGTAAGAAAGGTGAACTCACAAACAAGATAGGGGAGCTGGCGCTGTGCGGTGGGTAAAGCCGCCTCCTGCAGTGCCGGCATTCCATGTGGGTGTCGGTTCAAGTCCTGCCTGGTGCTCCACTTCCTTGCCAGCTCCCTGCTAACGCTGCTGGGAAAGCAGTAGAAGGTGGTCCAAGTCCTTGGGCCCCTGCACCCGTGCGGGAGACCCCGAGGAAGCTCCTGGCTCCTGGCTTCAGTTGGGCCAGTCTCGGCCTTTGTGGCTGTTTGGGGAGTGAACTAGCAGATGGAAGATCTCTGTCCCTCCCTCTCACTGTGTTTCTGCCTTTCAGACAAACCTTCTGATAAAATTTTTTTAGGAATTAGACTGCCCAGCCCAGAGCCAGTCCACAGACTGGCAGGTGTGTGCGCCTGTGGACGGCTGGGGGGAGCCCAGGCTGGATGCGACGGAGCCTCCAGCGAGCGCTCGGCAAGCCCTGGGCGCTCCCAGGTTGCCGCCAGCTCCCTCTCCAATGCCAGTTCTCAACAGAAAAACCACAGAGCACAGGCAGGCAGTGCAATGCCTGGGTGAGGCCGCGGCGTGACGCGCCCTGCCCGGGAATGCCCACCCCACTTCCCATCCGGCTTCCCGCGAGCGCACCTAGAAAGCCGTAGATGGGGCCCTGCCACTCGTGTGGGGCCCAGGTTGAGTCCCAGCCTCCCGGCTTCAGCTCGGCCCAGCCCCAGCTGCTGTGGGATTTGGGGGGTGGACCAGGTCGCAGATGATTTCTTCGGTGTCTCTGTCACTCTGCCTTTCAAATAAATAAAATTAAAAAAAGAAATCAAAGCGTCTGAGCCAACAGGAGGGTCTGACCAGTCAGGAACACAGACTGACGGAGCCGTCTCCGACAGCCGAGGCCCTGAACTCAGCCCCAGACTTTGCGAAACCGTTGCCGGTCTGCTGAGAGGCCAGGAGCCAGGAGCTGGACACAGCGGCCGTGGCAAGGAGCCGCGGCGGGACTCGGGCTGAGCTGTAAGCGGGGGAGCAGGCGAGGGAGTGTCCAGAAGCTTCAGGCGAGGACGCTCGGAGTTCCCAGCCCGAGGTCAGGGAGGAAAAAGACCACGGGAGCCGGGAGCCCACCACGCAGGCCAGTGTGCGCGGGGCTTCCCGGAGGAGGCGGGGGAGGGGCAGAGGCCGCGTGAGAGCCACACCGTCCAGGTTCAATGAAAAACGCGCGTGTGCACGCTGAAGACGCTCAAGGAGCCCCAACATGGACCCTCACGGCCACTGTGGGCCAGGATCGGGTGAAGCCCTCGGGACGGGCGCTGCGGCAGGGGTTAGGCCACCGCTGCAGCCCCCGTGTCCCATGGGACAGTCCCAGCTCCCCTGCACCCTGAGAGGAACAGGTGGCGGCTCGAGTGTCGGGCCCCCGCCTCTCACGTGGGAGATGAGGTGGAGTCCAGGCTCCGGCCCGGCCCGGCTGCTGCGGGCATCTGGGGAACGAACAGGAGACGAAGACCCACCCCCGCCTCTGCTCTGCAGATACAGTGAAAACAAAGCAAAGTGCGGCAGACTGTGACCGGGATAAGGAGCCCGTCTCACGGTGATGAGGTCGCGATGGCCCCTTGGCCGACTCCGAGACTCAGGAGCCTGGTTGCACCAGCAGAAGCCGTGATCCACGGTGACAGCTGGAGACTGGAATGCGGAGCCGGAAGCCAGGAAGCGTGTGGGCGGCGCTGGCGCCAGTGGATCTGATGGACAGAGCTCTCCTGTGGTCCCCAGGGCCCCCACGGCAGGCACAAAGCAGTCTCCGTAAAGGATTCAAGCCCTGCAAGGGTATTGTCTGGCCCCTGGGAATCCAATCAGAACTCCACAAGGCGAAGATTTCCAGACTCCTGAGTGTAACAGCGAGCTTTCAGTGGCCAAGAAACTGGAAAGTGTCCTGAAGAAATGGAGACGCAGGGAGGGGTTGGGACGGTGGGAGGCGGGGCTGCACTGGAGGGGCTCAGGTCACCACCAGTGCCCCCTGACAGAACTAGAAGAGGGGCGTGGCTGCTTAGCCCAGCAGGTAGACAACCACGTCGGCCTCAGAGCACCGGCTCCGGCCCCAGCCCCAGCTCCTGACCCCGGCGCAGAGCCCAGGAGGCAGCCGGTGGTGGCCTGAGTGACAGCTCCTGTCACCGTGCGGGGGACCTGAGTCGTGTTCCTGGCTCCGCCCCAGCCCCAGCCCAGGCTCAGCTGCTGTGGGCATCTGGGCCGTGAACTGACGGATGGGAGAACCTGCTTCTGTTTCTCTGTCCAGGAAAAAGAAAGCAAATTAAGCCTCAAAGAAAATAAAGGAAGAAACAAGTATCAGAGCAGAGTCAGTAAAATATTTTTGATTTTTTAAAAACATTTTATTTATTCATTTGAGAGGCAGAGTTACAGTGAGAGGGAGAGACAGAGAGAAAAGTCTTCCTTCCGTTGGTTCACCCCCCAAATGGCCACTACGGCCGGTGCTGCGCCGATCCGCAGCCAGGAGCCAGGTGCTTCCTCCTGGTCTCCCACATGCGTGCAGGGACCCAAGCATTTGGGCACCTTCTACTGCTTTCCCAGGCCATAGCAGGGAGCTGGATTGGAAATGGAACAACCGGGACTAGAACTGGTGCCCACATGGGATGCCAGCACTGCGGGCAGAGGATTAACCTGTGCCACGGCACTGGCCCCAGAAGTCAGTAAAATTTAAAACAGAAAAGCAGCCAGCACGGCGGCTCACTAGGCTAATCCTCTGCCTTGCGGCGCCGGCACACCGGGTTCTAGTCCCGGTCGGGGCGCCGGATTCTGTCCCGGTTGCTCCTCTTCCAGGCCAGCTCTCTGCTGTGGCCAGGGAGTGCAGTGGAGGATGGCCCGAGTACTTGGGCCCTGCACCCCATGGGAGACCAGGAGAAGCACCTGGCTCCTGCCATCGGAACAGCGCGGTGCGCTGGTTGCAGCGCGCCGGCCGCGGCGGCCATTGGAGGGTGAACCAACGGCAAAGGAAGACCTTTCTCTCTGTCTCTCTCTCACTGTCCACTCCTGCCTGTCAAAAAAAAAAAAAAAAAAAAACAGAAAAGCAATAAAAAAATGTCAATGAAACCAAATTCACTCTTTGAGAAATCAATAAAGTTATAAATCTCAAATCAGGCTGATCAGGAATAAAAGAGGAGATGTGAATTAATAATATAAAGAAATGAGAGGGGAGACATCACTACAGATCCTACAGATATTGCAGGCTAAGCCTCTGCCTACAACCTGGTATCCTATATAGGCACCGGTTCAAATCCTGGCTGCTCCACTTCTGATCCAGCTCTCTGCTATGGCCTGGGAAA